AGGAACTAGAGGATATAATTTGTAAGGTGGACAGTGCTATAATGTGTGAAGGAGTTAATATGCCAACAGAAGCATTAAAATATAAAACAAATACACTATGTACTGATAGTAATGGTCAATTTCGACACATGAGATGTTCATTAATAGTTAATGAAGAATTAACTATTAACAGATTAAATGATAGTGAAATAACTCAACAATGTAAATTTTGTAAGATAGCATTGATTAGGTGCCAAAGAAAAAAATTGCGTATGAAACACACACCTGTTGTAAAACGTGTTCATTTACTATGTACACCAAGTAAACTTACAAAGCTTAAGTTACTTCGTCGACGTAATAAAAATGTAAAAGAATTAAATCGAAGGGCTGGAAAACAATTAAATAAATTAAAAAGTCAATTAAAAATTTGTGAAACAAAATGTAGTAAATTAGATGAATCAACTATATTACAAAATTTAACATCAAATAATATTCCAAAAAATTATCAATTAGTAATAAAAGAAATAATAGCTACCTCCAAACGAAAAAGTCTAAAAGGTAATAGATACACAGAAGACTGGATAATGCTTTGTATGCTTTTGCATATTAGATCACCTGCTGGTCATTCTTTTATGCAAAATAATAAATTACTACCACTACCTTCAGTTAGAAGAATTAGAGAGTATCTGTCAATGATTAACACCACATGTGGATTTGATAAACAATTTTTTGATATTTTAAAAAAACATTTAGAAACTAAAACGGACCTTCAAAAGCATGGTGTTTTGATATTTGACGAAATTTCGCTTAGAGAAAGTGWTGCAGTAAATTCTAAATCTCTTACTTATACGGGCWTAATAGATTTTGGAGAAGAAGATGATGAAATGAAAAATTTACCGAAAGCAACAGACATAAATTCTAAAGCGACACACGGGTTAGTTTTTATGTTCCAACCCATAGCTGATAACTATACACAGCCTATTGGAGTGTTTGCTTCTAAAGGACCAGTTAATGGACAAACACTGGCCAAATTAATTATTAAAGCTGWGTTGCTTCTTRAAAAAGCAGGTGCTCGGGTCCATGGGTTTGTTTCAGATGGAGCTCAAACTAACCGACGAGTGTGGTCTGAGTTTGGAATAAGTGGAAAATTAGGTAGTTCAAAAACTCATATTGAACATTTTGCTGATAGTAGTAGGAAATTTTTTGCATTTTCTGATACTCCTCATCTAATTAAATGTGTCAGGAACCGGTTATATAACAACAGGCAACTTHGGGTAAATATTCAGTTCTTTCTTGAGCTAATAATAATACAATATTAAATAATAATAATTAATAATAATAATATTCATACATTACTTGCAGATAGATCCAAATGAAAATCCAATAAAGTGGGAATATTTTGAAAAATTGCATGCCCAAGATAAGATGAATTGTAGCAGCCAATTAAAAGTATGTCCAAAGTTGACTGAAAATCATGTAAAATTATTGAATACATGTTTAAAGATGCGTGTACGTCTTGMAACACAGGTACCTATAGGTTATTAGGTAATAATATAATTGTGTACATAATTTTGTGTTTTTTTTCATTATAGGTTTTTAGTAAATCTGTTGCAGATGGTTTAACGTTTTATAAAAAACACAATATCGAAGGTTTGAGTAATTGTAATACAACAATAGATTTTTGTTTGATGCYTAATGATCTATTTGATGCATTAAATGCAAAAATTCCTGTGCAAGGTATTAAACCTRGATCAAAAAATTATCAAGTTTGTTGCATTTAAATTGAGAGAGTATTTATTAGCTTTTATGCTTTTGTGACTTTATTTGTTTATTATATATTTATATTATTTAATATTGCATTGTAAATGTAATATTATTCATAAGGAGATTACGTACAATATTATTAACTCTGAACGTGGGGTAGGTACATAAGCATTCAACCTGTTGAATGTCTTATTCTTATAACAAGAATAATAATGTTTATGTTAAATGTATTTGTGTTATACTAATTTTCTCTAGTTAATATAGTCAATACCTACAGTATAATATAATTTACAGTTTAGATGTGTGCAAATTGTATTCAGTGTTTGTGTAAGTGTTTAATTAGGTATTTAATGTAAACCATAAATTATAATTGTCAACCTTATTRTTTAATAGATACTTCAACGTTCTCTGGACTGGTTGAACTCTTGGGAATCTAATTTGGAAGCTGGGAAAATTGATTCTCAAGATTTTTTAACCAAGAGTRMAGCGGAAGGACTGAGAGTTACCCTTACATCGGCTAAAGACTTATCAGATTATTTGATAGATAAGTATAATTTCAGTTATCTTCTCACAGGAAAAGTTAACCAAGATTCACTGGAGGTAATGTATCAAACATAACAAAATATATCTATACATAAAAAAAAAATTGTTTGAATTTGTTGAATAGTATAAATTAAATAAAAAAATTTTTTAGCGTTTCTTTGGTACAGCGAGAATGGCTTCAGGTGCAAACGACCATCCATCTACACCAACTTTTTTACAGGTATATAAACTACTTTCAGTTTACGCTATATTAAAACCTCCAAAATATGGAAACTGTACCGTTTATGAGAATATGCCACACACAAATTTAATAACAATTTCTGATATAAAGAATTGTTATGAAAACAATACAGATTTATCAGCAAAAGATAAATTAAAAACCAAATTAAATGGTCTTATAAATGAAGGTGAATGGGAATTTACTGATATAGTGGAACATGATTATTCTTWGGCTCCAATTGTGGACTGCTTAAAGTATTATATTGCTGGTTATTTAACTCACCAAATAACTAAAAGAAGTTCTTGTCAAAAATGTAAAACTAGTATTATGWKTAATGAATGTTTCACATCCGAGGCTGATTTGACAAATATAAAATCCAGAGGATGGCTAAAACATCCAAATAAATATTTGTATGAATTATTGAGTGTGGTTGAAGATGAATTGATGAAYCATTTAGGTAAAACAAGTGTTTTTGAAGACACGGTAGAAGCCTTGATAACCAGGTGTAAGACGTTCACATTTCCATGTGGGGAACATAAAGATTTTATTATAGCGTATATAATAAAATATTATATAAATATGAGAATGCGTCAATGGACTAGGCAAACAAACCAGGAACAGCTAAAAGAAAACGCAAAAAAGAAAAAACTATCAACATTTTGTAAATCATAATAATTTCATTAAGTTTCACAAAACATTCGTACATTATATCTATTATTAGATATAATTAATATTACACTTACCAGTACTAAGTATTCAAAATGTTTAACAAAATGTATTATGTAAGTCATTGTGTTCATTATTATATTATATATAAAATAAAAATTCAAAAGTTGTTTGTTGTTATAGAATTTACTACTTTAGTCCACGTCCTATAATCATACAAAGGCTGAAAGGCCTAATTTTAAGAAAAAAAATAATTCCCATAAGTTGTATTATATTTTAATATTTATGATTTATCATAACATGAGATATCATTGACATTAAATTTATAGATCACCATATGTCGTTGATAGATGGCAGTACTAGTATWTATGAGTTCCCTGTCCCGTCAATAAGAGCACGGATTATTATATGTAAATCTCATCGAGTTGCATAGGGCTGTTTTTAAATCGGGTCGTTATCGTTATCATAATGAACAACAACGATGAACCATCTCCGCCGATTGCGGCCCCGACTTATAACGAATTAATTAATGTCGTTTCGCGACTTCGTGAACAAGTCGAGCAGATGAGCGCTCGAAGTGTCACGCCGCCGGTTGAGCGTGTTGCGTCGCCGAACTCGTTGTCGGTTGCGAGGTTGGAAGTTGCTGAATTTCGTGTGGTTCCTGATTTGAATAAGACAATATGTCAATTTTCGGGACGACAGTCGTCTCATGAGGCCGAGAATTGGCTTGACGATGTAAATGGTATAGCTTCGGCAAACGGTTGGCCAATTAGGTACCGGTTACAGTTCGTTCGGTCGAATGTACAAGGAGCCGCTCGGGACTGGTTCGTTGGTAGACGTTTTGATGACTGGTCTAGCTTTGAGTCACGTTTCAGATCGACTTTCATTCGTTCTCTGAATACGTCTGATCGCTATGATCTCCTTAAAGCACGAGTTCAAGGGAAGGATGAACACGTAATGGACTATTTTCAACCTAAGGTGAGGTTGTGCCGAGATCTAACTCTACCGTTTGTAGAAGTCCGGGATCATGTTCTAAAAGGGCTGTACTCGCGCGAGATGGCGTTGTACGCGTTAGGACGACCGCATCTAACAGAAGAAGATCTGCTCGGAGATTTACTTGAGTGGCCTAGGATGGCTGCTATACATTCTCCTGAACATAAATTCAAAGACGCGAAACAGACCACGAAGAAAGTTGACTATAAAGCGTCGAAGCAGCCTAGTACGCATGCTTAGACCCGAATCAAGCCGTTCGATGGGAAAATGACGGAAGGTGTTTCGGTCAAGGATACTTCAAACTGCWGCTGGATTTGTAGAAAAGCAGGACATCTGTCGAGAGATTGCCCCAGTAAGCGTAAGAATACGTGTTACGGTTGCGGAGCTGAAGGGCATATACGGCCGAATTGTCCTTTGCGAGACGACCAAGCTAGTGTTGCCGTGGTATGTCGGGAGGTCGCCACGCATCCGTACCGCCGCGTTGGACGGATAAACGGGCGCGAAGTTGACGTATTGCTCGACACAGGCTGTCATCCGGTATTGATCAAGGCGAGTGTCACCGTGAGCTGTGGGCTTTCCATCAAGCCTGTGGATAAGCCGCTTTACGGGCTCGGCAGTACGACGGTGCCGTCAGTGCGAGCTGTTGGCATGACGCGAGCGTCCGTCGCCGTTGACGACGTATGTCCAGGTTTAGTGACATTATTGGTTGTAAGCGACACGGTACAGGTGCCTGATATCATCATTGGACGCGCATGGCTAGACCTACCAGAAGTCGCTTATCATAAGTCCGGCGGAAGATTATACATATATAAAGCGGAACCGTGTGAGGGTGGAACTGAAGTCGCAGTTGATACGTTGGGGAACGAAGCGGACTACCTGCATGCCGTCGAGGTGGACGTCCTGCCGGTAAAGGAGCATTTGCGTACAACGGATTTTGGGTACGTTAACTCTGAATTGTCCGTCGACGACGAAGCAGCGTTGTTAGGGCTGGTCAACGAATATCGCGATTGTTTCGCAACAAGTTTGGATCAACTTGGGTGCACGCCACTTATGACCGTGGGAATTCATGAGGTGCCCAATAGTCGGCCAGTAGTTTGCAGGCCATATAAGACGACGCGCGCCGATCGTGAAGAGATCGCCAAGATCGTGCGAGAGTGGAAATCGAGCGGAGTGGTCGTCGATACGGTCTCTCCATATGCGAGCCCGGTACTGCTTGTAAAACAAGAAAGGAGAAAAGTTCTGTTGGGGCGAAGAGCATGAAGCAGCTTTCCGTGAGTTACAGACGGCTTTGGTGAGCGATACTGTTTTGACTTTATTTAGACCTGACGCTACTACAACAGAACTGCACACGGACGCCAGTACGATTGGATTGGGCGCCATGTTGTTGCAATCGGTGAGGCTGGGTGACCCACTACACGTTGTCTACTATGCAAGCCGGAAAACAAGTGATGCAGAAACAAGGTAGGTATCATTCTAGCAAGCTTGAACTTTTGTGTTTAGTGTGGTCCATGAACAAATTAAGACAGTTCCTGTTGGGGGTGAAGTTTGTTGGGTACACCGACTGCCAAGCGTTGATGTACTTGAACAACTTCCGAAGTACCAACTCACAAATCGCACGTTGGCATGACTCATTACAAGAGTATGACTACGAAGTCAAGTACCGACCAGGTACTCAAATGAGTCATGTGGACGCGCTGTCACGTGCGCCTGTAGCGATGAATGAACGGGACCATGATGAGGAGTTGGCTGGGAGATACGAGGTGTGTACATTAATGACGGAAGAAGATAGGGTGCTGATGTGCCAGACCGCGGATCCTGAAGTGGCTAGAGAGTTGGAAATTGTCAAGTCTACTCCAGAAGCTGAAAACGACAACTATAAGGTTGAGCATGGTCTGCTTTACAGGAAGCATGGGGACCGGCTCCTTTTCGTCATGCCCAAGGCAATGCGGAAGAGCTTGTTGGTGACGGCGCATGACCTAAGCGGCCACCCAGCTATCGATCAGACGGTGAGTAACCTCCTCCAGGACTTCTGGTTCCCAAAGATGAGGCGTTATGTGAGACAGCACATCCACATGTGTTTCGAGTGCCTGCTGTCGAAGAACCCGAGGGGCAAAAGACCAAGGTTGTTGAACCCAATACCAGTGGGACAACGACCATTTGAGGTTGTGCACATGGACCATGTAGGGCCCTTTGTGACGACCCCTACCGGAAATAAGTATATTCTTGTTTTGGTGGACAATTTTACAAAATTTGTGGTCTTATTTGCAGTTAAGGGCACTACAGCTGAAGCATTGCTAACCTGTGTGGGCCAGTTTGTGGAAGCTTATGGCTTGCCTAAGAAGTTTATCACGGATCGCGGATCGTGTTACACTTCCAAGCTGTTCGAAGAGTATTGTCGAGACCAGGGCGTCCAGTTAGTGTTGGCCTCGTCGCGGCACCCGCGGGCAAATGGCCAAGTGAAAAGGGTGAATAGCGTTGTTATGGCTGAGTTAAGGACCGAGGGCAGTGAACCTGATGGTTGGGACCAGGACCTGCCGAGGATACAGCGTTACCTTAATAACAGTGAGAGCAAGGTGACGTCTAGGACGCCCTTCGAATTGTTGCACGGATATAGACACAGGTTCCGTCTTGGAACACTTAGATCTGTTTCTAAGGCAGCGGATGGGTGGACGATGCCAGAAGAGTTGTGGCGAGAAGCACGGGTGCAGATGGAGAGATCCAAGCAGAAGGTTAAGACTGCATTTGACAAACACCGTCATGACAACACTAGCTACTCTGTGGGAGAGGTAGTGGTCATGAAGCGATGCCCTACTGCCACGGGAGAATCCACTAAACTACAAGACCGTTATCGAGGTCCCCTGGTTGTGACTGAGAAGTTACCTGGTGATGTCTACCGAGTGGTTGAGTTGAACCAAGATAAAAAAGTCGGTTCGCCACCACTGCGCATGTTATACAACTTAAGTCGTAGAAGATGCACCACCAGACAGAAGACGACCGAGAAGAAGAGACAGCAGACGATCGAGTAGAAGAAGCTGAGGTGGAACCCAGAGAGGGAGCTATGGAAGTATTAAATGGTAGACCTATTAGGGAAAGGCGCCCTCCCTGCTGGGCTCGAGACTATGTATAAATTTTTCATTTTTTTTTTACCTCATCTATTTGATTAATATTCGTCCTTGTATAATTATGATTAAAATTGTTCCTGTATAATTATTATTAATATTACTCCTATAAAGTGTTGTTATGCATATTCTCAGAAGACAAGTTATAGAAATCTTTTTTTTTATATATATATTTAATTGATAACCTTGCTGTGATGGAATTAAAATCTGTGTTAAGTTTTATTGGCAGTTCCTAAGGTAATGCTACTGAAACGTATAGACTGTTAATGTTATTGTTAAACTGTTAAAACCTTTGAACTGTTACATTGTATTGTTATGAAAGATGATATGTTAAATTGTTAATTAGTTATACTATTTTTATTTAATCGGAATTTTGTTGTGGAATTGTTATTTCATATTATTATAAAAAAAATAAAAAATAAATGTAACTGTTGAGGACAACAGTCCTAAGCAGGAAGGCCGAGTGTAAACTCCTCTAGATAGCGTGGCGTATGTGCTTGGCACTATCTGGAAGAGACGTGGTTTTGATAATTAGTTGTGTTGTGACGCGCGTTGAGTAGCGACTGGTGACCTGCGCCGTCGCGAGGTTGACCCGAGTTTATTCATTTTGTTTTTTTTTACTCTTACATTGTTTTAATAAACTGTTTCTCTAAGCCGTTATTCGTCTTATGTTATTTCTCCACGTAGGGAAAGTTAACAGTAGGTATTGATCGGCGGTTCCGAGTTGCGTGCGAAAATCGTTTTCTGGGTCGAATTGCGTGCGTGGTTTTTTCATAACAGGGTTGAGTTGCGTGCGCGGTTTTTCTGTGACAGAGCCGAGTTGCGTGCGAGATACAGTGTATGCCGCACGGTGTGCCAGATTTATTTACACTAAATAATTAAAGAATACATTTATT